ACCCCAATACTACTGTAGTCTATCCGATCACAGTGTCATTGCAATTCACCCAATCTCAATATTTTTTCCCACTCGTCGCAGTTACATCCAACTGCTGCTAGTCACATATTCCACTTCATCTAATCCCAAAGACTCAGCACCGTTCTCAGCCACACTATCAACCAACTGTACTCAGTTTTGATCAGCTACTCCCAGAGCCAACAATACCCACTTCATCTTGTTGCAATATGATGCAAATGCATCCTGTCTCAATATCATTAAATCACAACAAGTCTCAATATTGCTGAGGCATATCCAGTTTCAGTATTGGTGAACTCCTTCTCGTTGCTGCCCCGTTCTATAGCTGAAGGCTTCCTCAGAACAGAAGATGATCATTCAGCTCCTAAAGCTGGTTCAGCCATTTCATTAAATTATTGCTTTTGACCTGATAACTGCTCTATTTCCTTTAATATTTCACCAACAAAATAACATCAGTCTGTCTTTTGAACTGAAGTTGTACAGCATCCTGAGCTTTTTGTGAAACAGAAATCCAACAAGTTCTTAACCCTTGAGTGAATATTTTGAACTGTTGATTCCTGTAATGCTGTTGATGTAGGCAAGAGGAGATAGATCAATTGGTGAGTTTAAGAATAGTCTCAGTGGGAGAGGCTTTGCTCTTTAACAACAAGTTATTCTTAAACAGCACCATGAATGTCATTCAATATCTCAAGGCACTTCACAGAACAGGTAAGTAAACAACCTTTGACCAAGCAACCTAAGCATATATTTTGGCTTGGTCAAGGACGTGCATTGTATGGTGTGTCTTACAAGAGTAAAGTGACTTGTCGAGCTAGAGTGGTTTAGATTTGCAAATCAGGAGCTAAGGTCCTAAGCAACTGAAGGAGCATTGAAAATCGAGAATGTGCAAATGGACATGGTTAGAGACACTCAGAGGCTAAAAGAAGCTCCAGAGATGGGATGGATCATTTGAAAGCAAGGAGGAGAATTTATCACCAATCCCTCTACATGCCACTCAGAATCTTGAATGTTATACTCCTCATTTGTGTAAACTCTAATGAATAAAGATCTAACCTGTCTAGTTTTTGATAAATCAATCCCTTCATAACAGCAATCAGCCTAGTGAATCTATTTTGAACTGACTCCAAATGCCTGTATATCATTAAGTACAAGATCCAAAATTATATACAATATTCCAGGTATGGCCTCTCTAGCCCCCTATCAATAAGCACTAAAATTCTATTTGCCTTCTTAATTACTTGCTGCACCTGCATGCTAATGTTTTATGTTTGATGCACACAAGCCTATAAATGCCTCTGCACTTTTCCCTGTCTGCATTTAAATAATAGTCTGCATTTTGATTCTACCTATCAAAGTGCATGACCTCATGGACAGAAGGTTATGGATTTTCACCTGACATTAGAGATCTGACCATATGAAATGGATCCACGCTGTTCAAGGTACCATTTTGTATAGGGCATCAAACCAATATCCTTCTCAAATAGCTCGACTTGAAGAGGTGAGATCTGATTAATAATTCTTCTTCAAATAACAGGACTAAAGAAGTGATCAGATGATTACCCCATTCTGTTTGTGGGACCTTGTTGTGTACAAATTTGCTACATTACATTTCTTGGGTCTTAAGTGCCTTAGAGCTACCTGAGGTGATGATAGCAGTCTGTAGATACAGATTCTTTGGGTTAACTAACCAGGAGGTATGTGCGTAAATTTAAAAATAGATAGTTATGTGCAATGCCTATTGTCACCAATGATTGGATGATCCTCTAGCTAAACCTAACATTATTCATTGCAATAATTGAAATACAATAACCCACAATCAACACTGGAACATGTGCAAGGACTGACAGAGAACTAATGATCTTATCCCTTCCCTCCAGGTAACGGCTGAGATATCGAGGTTTTTGTGTGTGTTAAAGGTAAATATTCCTCTCACTATGACTGGAATTGGACCTTGACCATCTGGTGAAGCCACTGAAGTTTGACATTCATTCATTCATGTGTGGTGTCTACTTGAAGGCAGCTCCATAAAATATTGCTTGTTGATTCTTCAAATTGAGCCATTTTCTTGACAGTTTAAGTCTGTAGTGATTTGCCATCACCTCATATTCCCAGGGCCTGGTCAAAGAGCAGGTCCTCAGTGCACCTCAGCCAGAACAAGAATTGAGCATACACTGGTGACATTACTCTGAATCATGTGCTAGCTATCGAACCAACTGGGCTAACCATCCCAGTTTTGACTTATAGAATTTTTCAATGGTTATGCCACAAAAAGAGAACATTCAGACCATCTTTTTTTGTTAAATTAATAACTTACTAATAAAACTCTATCTAGTGAAAGACTTTGACTAAAGTATATTTTATAAATAAGTAAACTTACTTTTCCCCCAAAAAATACTGCAATGCACATTGACTTGTAACTGAACAGTTACCCATCAGAGGGTAGAAAGGGTTATCTAAACAGTATTAACATTTCAGATGGCTCCCACCCACACAGTGGTATTTTGTTCCTTTTATCATGTTGACTCTAACTTGCTTATTATTCCTGTATTACTCCCAGACAATGCTACTTCTGATTACAGGTACATCACCTGACCCAACCAGACTGTGCATTAATGTGTTTTAAAAGATAAGAATAATGATAGCAATAAGTTTTATAAAAACATTAATTATTGTGTAACTGCTATTCAATAGCAGTATTAATAATAGCAATGCTTTGATGAAGTATTAAAATACAGTAGCACTGGTTTTAACACTAAAACAGATCTCAGATTTTGCAGTGATATTAACAGTGAAACTGTCAGTGTGGGTTGTCATTGCTCCACTGAAACTGACTGCAATTTCAGCTATGTGCAGGGTAAGGAGGATTTACAGAATTATTTTAAGTGACTGTATGCTCCTCCAGAGGGTGCACTCTAGAGGTTCCTACAGACTGCAAAATACCTTGTAATCATGAATTGGACAAAAAATTCCATTTCTGTACTCTTGGTTTTGATGTAAAAAACACTCACAAAAGTCGATCTTCCTTAAAACGAGGTCAGTAATGTATAGAGATAGTAGGAACTGCAGATGCTGGAGAATCTGAGATAACAAGGTGTAGAGCTGGATGAACACAGCAGGCCAAGCAGCATCAGAGGAGCAGGAAGGCTGATGTTTCGGGCCTAGACCCTTCTTCAGAAAAGGGTCT